TGAAGAGACCGCGCTCGTAGTCAATATGGACAGAGCTCCCTCAGTCTTCAATCAAAATCAACGTCTGATTTCCCTACCTCATGGAGGAGGTCCATCCTTTCTTCTTGATCGGAAGCTCCCTTCCATCTTTGAGGACAAAAGGAGATGGTCAAGAGCTCTCGCGCCCGACTAAGGGAGAAAGGAGTCTTCTTCTGGTCCACAGAAAGATATTTCTCGAGAAGTTAGAGGGACCTCTCTTCTGAGTTGTTGGGGTAGAGGACCTGTCAGGGGATCTATTATCTACCAAGTGTTAAAGGAGCCTTCTTCCTTCTCGTGAAATTGGAGGGAACTGTCTTCCTGTTTTCGATGATTAGGGAGAGAGCTCATACATTGTGGGGGGGTTTCTGTCCTCTTTGGCTACGAGTGAGATCTTTTCGCTTTTCTCCCAAGAATGAGAAGCGACGTTCCAAAAGGCAACGGAGCTCTGTTTCTAGAAAGAAGCTCTCTTCTCTTACCACGAACACCTTGGGAGAGCTATCTTCTGGTTTTAGAGCATGGGTTGGAGGAGTTCTCGCTTTGAAGCTTGAGGGGAGAACCAAGCTTGTTTGTTTGAAGGTTTTGGGGGGAGGGGCTTCACCGTTTCTTCTTGAGCTTAAGCTCTCTTCCTTTTTTTGAAGAGGAAGAGGAGATAAAACACAAGCTTTCTTATCTCCCGTGCCTGGAAGAAAGGAGATCTCTTCTTGCCGACTGGGTGGTAGACAGAGCTCTCTTCTTTCTCGATATCGTGGAGGGCCCTGTCAGTCCATTATTGAAATGGAGATCTCTTGAAATTGGATTGGAAGAACTCTTCTTGTCGAGGATGATGTAAGAGGGCCAGTCTGTTTGGAAGCTAAGGAGGCGCTGCCATCTCTTGCCAGTGGATCTCTTCCTCTAACGAGAGGTAAAGGAGCTCTCTTCTCGCCGATCAAACCGAAGAGGGCTCTTTTTATTCTCGTTGCAGGAGGCTCTCCTCTTGTTTACGATGATGAAATGGAAAACATATGCGTTGTTCTTCACTCTTGTCAAGATTAAGCAGTGACTTACCAAGAGGTATCGGAGCTCTCTTCAAGCAAGGAAGCTAGCTAACTCGCTTCTCTTACCACGAACAACTTCGGAGAGCTATCTTCTGTTTTAGATCAAGGGAAACTTGAAGGGAGGATCAGACTTCTTTCATTTTCCGGAGAGGAAAACGAGGCAGCCAGGAGTTCTCTTGTTTGCCGTGCCAAGAGAGGAAAGGGGTCTTTTCTTGCCAACTGGAGGGTAAACGGACCTCTCTTCTTTCTCGTGAAGTTCGAGGGGCTTGTCTGCCATTGTGAGATGGGGCGCTCTTCTTTCTGAATATATTGGAGGGAGCTGCCTTTTTGTCGAGGATGAGGTAGGGAACTCACACGTTGCTTTTTGCTTGTTTGCCAGGAGCGTGCTCTCTTCAGTCTTCTTAAAGTTAGGACAAGGTCTTGCCAACAGGAAAAGGAGCTCCCTTCTAGGAAACTTTTCCTACAAAAAATGACTTGGAGTGAGCTCTGTTCTTGCTTCAGAGGATGAGGTAGAGGGCTTCTCATTCCGCTTTGAAAAGGGGGCGGGAGGACCAGACTTCCTTTTTCAAGTATGGAGGAGCTCCATCCTTTCTCCTTGATCGGAAGCTCCCTTCCATCTTTGAGGACGAAGGGAGATGGTCAAGAGTTCTCGCGCCCGATTAAGAGAGAGAGGAGTCTTCTTCTGGTCCACAGAAAGATAAATCAAGCTCTCTTCTTTCTCGAGAAGTTAGAGGGACCTCTCTTCTGAGTTGTTGGGGTAGAGGACCTGTCAGGGGATCTATTATCTACCAAGTGTTAAAGGAGCCTTCTTCCTTCTCGTGAAATTGGAGGGAACTGTCTTCGTGTTTTCGATGATTAGGGAGAGAACTCATACATTGTCGGGGGGGCTCTGTCCTCTTTGGCTACGAGTGAGATCTTTGTGCTTTTCTTTCAAGAATGAGAAGCAACGTTCCAAAAGGCAATGGTCCAAAAGGCAATGGCGCTTTCTTTCTAGAAAGAAGCTCTCTTCTCTTACCACGAACAACTTGGGAGAGCTATCTTCTGGTTTTAGAGCATGGGTTGGAGGAGCTCTCGCTTTGAAGCTTGAGGGGAGAACCAAGCTTGTTTGTTTGAAGGTTTTGGGGGGAGGGGCTTCACCGTTTCTTCTTGAGCTTAAGCTCTCTTCCTTTTTTTGAAAAGGAAGAGGAGATAAAACACAAGCTTTCTTACCTCCCTTGCCTGGAAGAAAGGAGATCTCTTCTTGCCGACTGGGTGGTAGACAGAGCTCTCTTATTTCTCGATATCTTGGAGGGCCCTGTCAGTCCAATACTGAAACGGAGATCTCTTGAAATTGGATTGGAAGAACTCTTCTTGTCGAGGATGATGTAAGAGGGCCACTCTGTTTGGAAGCTAAGGAGGCGCTGCCATCTCTTGCCAGGGGATCTCTTCTTCTAACGAGAGGTAAAGGAGCTCTCTTCTCGCCGATCAAACCGAAGAGGAGCTCTGGTATTCGCGTTAAATTGCAGGGGGCTCTCCTCTTGTTTTTGATGATGAGGTGGAAGGCATGTGCGTTGCTTTTTCACTCTTGCCAAGATTAAGCAGTGATTTACCTAGAAGTATTGGAGCTCTGTTCAAGCAAGGAAGCTAGCTAGCTCCCTTTTCCTACCACCAACAAGCAAGAGCTATCTTTTGTTTTACAGCATGGGGTTGAGGAGTTCTCTTTGTGAAACTTGAAGAAAGGATCAGACTTCTTTGTTTGAAGATTTGGGGGGGTTCCACCATTTCTTCTTGAGCATAAGCTCTCTTCCATTTTCTGAAGAGGATCATTTCCCCTGCCAAGAGAGAAAGGAGGTCTCTAGTTGCCGCCTGGGGGGTAAACTGAGCTCTCTTCTTTCTCGTGAAGCTGAAGGGGCTTGTCTGCCGTTTTGAGATGTGGCGCTTTTTCTTTCTCAATACATTGGAGGAAGCTCTCTTCCTGTCGAGAAGTTGAAAAGTAAAGTCTGGTCTTCCCCGCCCACTTTCAAAGGGACATGGGAAGCCCTCGAAGCTCTGTTCAAGCAAGGAAGCTAGCTAGCTCCCTTTTCCTGCCACCAACAAGCAAGAGCTATCTTTTGTTTTAGAGCATGGGGTTGAAGAGCTCTCTTTGTGAAACTTGAAGAAAGGATCAGACTCCTTTGTTTGAAGATTTGGGGGGGCTCCACCATTTCTTCTTGAGCATAAGCTCTCTTCCATTTTCAGACGAGGATCATTTCCCCTGCCAAGGGAGAAAGGAGGTCTCTAGTTGTCGCCTGGGGGGTAAACGGAGCTCTCTTCTTTCTCGTGAAGCTGGAGGGGCTTGTCTGCCATTGTGAGATGGGGCGCTCTTCTTTCTCAATACATTGGAGGGAGCTCTCTTCCTGTCGAGGATGAGGTAGGGAACTCAGACGTTGCTTTTGATTGAAGACTGAGGGAGCTCTGTCCTATTGACGACGAGCGTGCTCTCTTCAGTCGAGTCTTCTTATGATTAGGATGAAGTCTTGCCAAGATGTGCAGGAGCTCCCTTCCAAAAAAACAAGCTCTCTTCTCCTACCTAAAAATAACTTGGAGTGAGCCCTGTTCTTGCTCCAGAGGATGAGGTAGAGGGCTTCTCATTTCCCGTTGAAAGGGTTAAATAGCGGGTAAAGCACCTTGTCTTCCGAGGTGTCCGGTGCGTTCTCGACTGCCTGTGAAAAGCCGAAGGACAGACTTATTCACACCCCTGGTCGTACCCCCAACTGTATCAGGTCTCCAAGGTTTGTGGCCTCTGGTCGATAGAGCAAAGTAGGTAAGGGAAGTCGCCAAAAAGCTTAAAAAAAAGGGGGACGCACCTCCCCAACTGGAAACTGAATGCCTTTATGATGAAAGTTGAAAAGCTCTGAAAAAAACTGTATTTGATGCACGTCTTGTTCATGGTGCGATGTTATTGAAAGCAAGCCTGAACGGCATAAAAGGGGGGTTGGGTGGGCGCGAGGGCTAAGCCTCCTGAGTGAGACCCGATCTTCCGGTCGTGTGGAGACCATGAGCAGTTACCTTTATCGGAACCGTCAACACAGGCGCCTCAGTCTCCTTAGTCATCACATGCTGGCTCGAACTCGGTGCTTGCGGTGCCTCCGAAGTTGTTGCACGTGCCATGCTCATCGACCCTCCGTGGTGGTGTCCCATCAGGCAGCTGTTCCGGTCGTTTGGAGACCATGAGCAGTCAGTGGCGTGGGAACAGTCAACAGAGGCGCCTCAGTCTCCTCAGCCATCACATGCTGGCTCGAACTCGATGCTTGCGGTGCCTCCGAACTTGTGCACATGCCATGCTCATCCACCTTCAGTGGTGCTGTCCCATCAGGCAGCCGTCGATGAGGAACACTAATCATACTGTTGCAGTGTGTAGACGGTGTTTAGTATTTACACAAAGAGCGAGCGACACATTATACATAAAGGTTCCTGCCTCATATATATATATATACATACATATACATGTATAGCAAGAGAGAGAGAGAGAGTTAGTTCTGGTATTAGACTAAGCCCTCAAAGCCCTCCCCAAAGTGGAGCAGACCTGCCGCCGTCACCGAGGCTGCCATCTCCATCGGAAGCCCCAGCTGAGCTGCAAGATTTGCCGCCGCGTGACCCATGGATGCCTTTCTCCTTCGTGTAATGCTGGGGCCGGAGTACTTGGTAAGACTTCTCCTAACTGCACTTTAAGCAAAAGTCCACGATAGTTCAGTGGATGCCAAAGCCCTATTATGTTCAAACCTCCTTACCGCATGCTTCCCTACTCTTTTGCATCTGCGGATTCAATTGCAGGTTGCGACTGCTACGAACGTAAGCCAGTGACACCACTGGGGACACTATGCTCTCAAGCCTCGAAGATACATATACGCCCGCTTTGAATGACTTTCCCTGGTGATGGTTCCAATGCTAGTTGACGCTCGGAAGCTGGTGAGTGCACATCTTTCGCAGGTATACTATTCGGCGGTTGATCCAACCTCGCAGAAGAAGGACGGTGAAGCTTTCAGGCTTCCTTCGCATAGCCAGAGAGTATGGTATATTGGGGCAGTGTATATTTTTCTCCGTAATCATGCTCCTCATTACGCGTAGTACCTTCTCACACAGGGGCTCGAACGATCGGCCCATGTCCATAGGACGTCGCATACATTGCCAGTTCTTCTCGGATGCAGGACGACAAGAAGGGGTCTGACAGGAAGCCGGAGGACGAGGCACCTGGCGCCGCGGACTCAGAGGTGCTTGAGGTCAGGGTTTAATAGGGTTTTAGGGTTTAGGTCAGAGCTTCTTGAAAGTCTGAAGGTCTTTGTCTTAAGATGGAGCTGTTGGAGTCAAAGTTATCCTCGACCGTTCCTGACCACATGAGGGGCCTCCGTCTGGTTGCGTAGCTGAGGCTCGGATGCGTGGTGCAGAGGCCTTCGAAATCACCAACAAGCAGACCTACAACTTCAATTCGATGTCAGAGGCTCATCAGCCCAGCTCCCGAAGCAAAAGGTGCCTGACAATTCAGCAGAGGGTGGCGGCGGCGGCACCCTGCATCACTTGCGATTCAGCAATTTCAACTCCAGACTTGCACTGCCTTCTTCTGTCTGGCCGGGGGTATGTTTACGCCGTACAGAGTTTTGAGCTTGATGTCGGGCATGGAGTTCGGAACCAGGAGTGAGTAGTGTATTGAGCACACTGGACATGTCTGAGACTTCAGGCTGCGAGATCAGATCTTGAAGAACACGTACTTCAAGACGTTACCCAGCCGCAAGATATGAAAATGGGCTCAGTAGAACTATCGCCTTCCTCCACGCGCTTCCTGGCACTAGTTCCTCCCGTCAGGCTTGTCAAGATCGATACTTTCGAGGGCATCATGGACGAAGCTCGCCAGCAATAAGACTATTCCTGTTTGAAGAGAAAGTCGGGTACTTTGTGCACACATGTTGTACAGCTCCACCGATCCTAGAAGCTGCAGGAGATGTATCAGTATGTGGAGACAGCGGAGACTTATGGTGGCGGCTCCACGATGCGGCCTCAGTGCAATTTCCGTTACTTCGTTCGGATTCGCCGTCATCGATCCATGCTTCGCCTTTCACTTCTGCTTTTGTTCTGACAGTCCAAGCCGGGGAGCCGCAGTCGCTATCAGCTGACCTCACGGGTGCCCCGACCGCCTGAAGGTCTGATCCCTGAATTCCTCAATCCCAAACCATAATAATAGTATTAATACTCTTACTAATATAAATAGCGTTAATTATAATAATGAAATTACAAACAAAGTAGTAATGAGGATATGAAATTACAGAGAAAGTAGTAAGAAGGATAAGAACAATATGTATATGAACCTTGAATGCCTTTTCATCTCCCAGGACGGTCCCCTCCAGCTTGTTCTGCTGCCTGTATCGTCTTTTCACCATTGGTGCATCTGGCATGTTTGCGACACGTGCTGTGGCGATGTCTCAGAGATTCCCACTGCCTGGAAGCGTCGAAACCATACTGAAGCATTGTACACATATACAGTATATGCATGCTAACACATGTTTACATACACATACAGGGATAAAAAGACGACTAAATAGACAAGTTGATAGATGAAGCATTGGTGTGTGTATGTATATATATATATATATATATATTCATTTATTTAACCTCATATTATGTATCTGTATGTAGACATACATACCTCCACCATATGCAACACTTTCGACACACAGTTCGGTCAAGTTTGTCGTGTAGGGCCGGGCATCTCGCAAGATATCGCCCTCTCAGCCGGCCTCGCTAGTTCGAATCGGTGTATGGGAGTTTCCGAAAATAAAGGACCCTAATATAGTACCTGAAGTAATAGGATCCTTATTATAAGGACCCAAATCAGGTGCCCCTAATTTTCGGACACTCCCGTATATGACTTGGGCACTTGCACTCCGATGTCTAACTTGCTTCTTGGACCCGTTGAACTTGAAGGTACAGCCTTGGAGATGAATATAGGGGCCTCAATACTTCCCTATGCTTTTTTGGTGGGTTCCTTGAAGCCCCAAATTGTAAGTATTTAGGCGGCTAGATTAAAGCCCAAGGGGGGGGCCTTGATCTCGTGAATTTAAGTCCCGTGGGCCTCAATCTTCTTTTGTGCCCTGGGCCGCTAGGTGGATCCCCAAGTCCGTTCGGGTTAACCCTTATATAGTGGTGGTTCTTTCAATTAGTATCCCTTCTAGATCTCCCCCAAATCCCCTGTAAAGCCTTTAATTCACCGTAAACGTCTCGCAGAAGCCAGGTTTGTCCTACGATGAGCTGAACTTGCTCTGTGAGTCCAAGGCCCGCTGTGGAAGACATCGGTACTATTGGCTATAGGGGCTTAAATAATTACCCATACGATTTTTTGGGGCGGGTCCTTATTATAGATATTTAATATAGTATAATGGGCCCCGAAGCCCTACGATGCTAATTATTGAGGCCGATATATTAGAAAGGTGAGTGGTGCGATTAGCACTATCCGCATCACCAGAGTGGCAGCAATAATGGTTTGTGCTGGCATGTGTTGGCTCCGTGAACAACAAGATACAACAATGACTGCTGATAGCAATAACCATGATCTCAATGTTATTAAATCTGTTATGATATGCTATCGAAGACCTTGATACTGTTATTGCGCACGTCGACTTCTGGGCAAGACGGGTGCTTTTAGTCTTTCAGTCTGCAACTGGTTGCTTCCGCTTTCGAGGACTGGCCCTACATCAGATGCTGTGGTTTCCTCTACATCCGCTTCGGCCACGAGACAAGATTGAGGATTAAGAGATGTTTAGGTTTTGGATTGCGAGACATGTGCCGAATACTTTCTGTCATGCTTAACCTCGTTTTTCTTTGTGTGAAGCCTGTAGCGGCGTGTTGCACGTCGTGGTGGGTTCGGGAATTTGTCCAGACGACTCCTAGGATCAGTTCTGGTTCTCGCGGAGTTTTCTAGACCATGACGATTGTAACAAGCGTAAGTACTGCCCTCAGCCCGTGTGCCTGCCAGAACCCGAAACCCACAATCACGAGTCACAGCCTTCCAGAGCCTTTCAACCCTGGAACTAGGTAGAGCTCTCCTTGCGTGCGCACACACACATGCGCTCCTGATCGTGTACATACATACAGGTCCATACACACATATGGACAATCACATGCATGCACTGGACATACATACAAACGTTACTACATACGTACATACATACATACAGATATATACATACACATACTTACGCAGACATACATACAGACGGAAGCTGTCAGACAGAGAGACCTGCACACCTGTTAGATGCATGCGTGCATGCCTACCCGACCTGCCGACCTGCTATGACCTACCGACCTACCTACCTAGCTTCCTGCCTAGCTACCCACCTGCCTACCTACCTACCCCTATCTTCCTATGTACCTAGCTACTTACCTACTTACCTACTGACTTACTTACCGGCCTACCCACCGGTTCGGCTCCCTTCTACCTACCTGCCTTGCCCACCCGTCTGGCTAGTCAACCATCTCATGCTAGTACTTATCTGCGTAACAGCCTACCCACCTGCCGACTTACTTACCTGCGCATACGCGCATGCGAACATGCATACATAAATTGAGAAAGAGAGAGAGAGAGAGAGAGAGAGAGAGAGAGAGAGAGAGAGACAGAGAGAGAGAGAGAGAGAGAGAGAGAGAGAGAGAGAGAGAGAGCGAGCGAGCGAGCGAGCGAGCGAGCGAGCGAGCGAGAGAGCGAGAGAGCGAGGGAGGGAGGGAGGGAAGGGAGGGAGGGAGGGAAAGAGAGAGAAAGAGAGAGAACGAGATAGAAAGAGAGAGAGAGAGAAAGAGTGAACCCCACATTACACACGCTTGCATAGACAGATTGGTTTGAGGGACGAACAGTCAGCATCATGCATCGTGCACCACGTAAGACATCATATGTACATCAAGGTTGTGCTCCCGAGAAGCTTTGGGACTTCCTGGGGGAGTACTGCGTCGACGACCAGGAGTACGGCACCCGTAGGGTCACGGTATTTCAGGGCATGGTGCCTGGAGTTGTGGCTAACCTAGGCAGGTCCATGCTCCTCACCTGGCCAGGAAACTGTGTGGCAGGTTGCACGAACCCGGGTAAAAGACTTACTACGTGCGAAATCAAATAGGACTTCCACACCTCCCCATCCATCATCCTTCCTTGTTCTATCTACCCGAACATAAAACCACCCAGCACACCCTCAAAATGGCTGCGGCTCAAGGCGCAACAAGCTGGTCCAAAATAGATCCGATAGGGCAGAGATGCCACGTGTTCCAGCCATGTTGCTTTCCTTGCCCAAAGGCTCCATGTATCGTTAGAGCCGATACTTGGGCATAATTGTGCCCAGCGGCCACATTGGCTCCAGACGTTACTTGGGATTTGGTGGGTTTGAAGACCTCTCTCTTGATGGGTGGGTTTCGAAGGATGAATGACACGTTTGGATCAAGCTTGAGACGCTACGACTTGCATCGGTACGGGTTTCAAGTTCTCACTCTTGGTGGGATGGGTTTGCCGTTGATGGATTTGGCGGGGTTTGAAACCCTCACTCTTGATAGGGGTGGGTTTGCCTGGGTTTTTTACGACCTCGCTCTTGCTGGGTTGGGTTTGCCGTCCATGGATTTGGCGGGGGCTTGAAGACCTCGCTCGTTTTGATGGGTTGGGTTTGATTATTTATACCATTTATATTTTACAGAATCCTGAACTGCTTTTCTAATTTTGTCTCGATATGTCTGTGTACGCTGTTTAAAACTGTGTACATGTATGCAATATAGGGGGTGTCCGTCATTAAATAACAAAATATATATAGACTATACATATAGTACAAGTGTGTGTGTGTGTGTGTGTGTGTGTGTACTGTGGGGTTGTTAAGTACTAGTACTGTAAGTTGTGTGTGTGTGTGCGGCGGCAGTGTGGGTCGTTGTTTGCAGATGTTGTTTTCGCCGGTGTGGGTGTGTGTGTGTGTGTCTAGGCATGTAGTGGGTGTCTCACGAATTTTCGAGGTCCCATTGTTGATTGGACATGCACTGCATATCAACGATGTCCGCCGTGCTATCTGCTGGAGGAACCTGGAGCAGGTACGCCTCTAATTCCAGCTTGCAGGATTCGAATCCATGTGTGTAACTGCGGTACGATAGTACTAATACATAATACAGATCGCTCGCCTGCATGTACAGGCTGGATCGGATATATAGTAGATCTAGAGCGAGTGCATGCATGCCATGCCACATACCTCGAATCATGATATCGGTATGTGCCCCACATCGTACGTACAGTATATGTGTGAAGATTATAAATGTCTACATGTCTAGAGCTCGGTTCCGTAATTGACTGCATTTTTACATGTACAATGCCGGGGCGCTGGAACATTCTTCAAGAGTGTGCCAAGAAGCGGAAGGCATCAGGTGCGCCCACCCTCAGCACTCAGCTCTCTGTGTGTGTGTGTGTGTGTGCTCATGATCTGCTGTGAGATGAGTGATTCGATCGCTTGCAATCTGCTGTGAGATGAGTGATATGATCGCTTGCAGTCCATGTACATCTGCAAGTTTTCGGGGCCAAGCGAACATGTGTGCATGCTGCATGCTAGCACTAGTCCGAGCTGCATTCGGTCTGCAGGGGCCATAGATGTGTGCATGCTAGCTAGTCTGCATATATGCATCATGTGCCGAATCGGGCTGGGTAATTTCAGACAACCTTCGAAGTTTCGATCCGCTGCCGGCATGCCGGAGAAAGAGTTCAAGATCCTAGATGGTGTGCGGCGGTGTGCTAGCACCGGTGAGCTGATCACCGGCAAGCAAGTGTTGCGGCCGCTCCGCTTCTTCGTGAGCGAAACTAGTCAGCATAAAAGTACTATCATGTGCAGCTAATCCCGACCCGATGCAGATCTCCGAATCCCAGGATTCGGCTTTGAAGATCGTTGCTGCCCTCCGCCCGGTGGTGGAGTCCCGGCTGGAGGATCTGAAGAAGGACAAGGCGACTCAATTGTAATAAGCTGGCATGTTCCGATTAATGTACGTGTACATTCTATAATTCGACAGTCTATGTACGTGTGCGAGAAACCGAGGAAACCCGCCTGGTAGACATCTTCGACACTAACATTTCGAAAGAAGATTTCACGTCGGAAAAGAACTTCAATATCATGAAAGTCTACGCGGCCCACCTCTTCAAAGATGTGCATGAGCGGAAACAGCTCATTTCGGCGACGGAGCACAGGGCGGCGGTTCTCTACTTAAGTTGCTGCTACAAGCTGCAGAATGTGGAGAAAAATTGCAAGCAGAAGGTGAAGGATTGGGCAGATGTCCAGGGCACGCGGCTACGCTGGCTGGCTGCATATGTCGTGCAGTCAGTCAGCAGAACGTGCCACGCAAGGACCGCCGGACCTGCATATTGTCTCATTAACTTATCTGAGCGATCCAACATGTACATGCATATATGTCGAATATCAGGAGCGATGAGATGTCAGTCCTTAAGGGCATCCACTTGGCTGTGAACGGCCGATCTCTTCCCGAGAAACCACAACGGAAACTGTCGGAGTCGAGTGTGAGCTCAGAGGTGCTTCCATAAAACATAGTACTATCTATTCATTACTATCTGTGTGTGTTTCCATGCATATCTTTCACGCGAACATAAGCCCGGCAGGTGCTCGATGTTATGGACGAGGATGAGGAGCAGGTGGACAAAGATCGTGATGGGATCTTTGAGATCTTCGATGATGATGATACCGATGGTGATGCTGTTGGGATCGCAGTTGTGGCTTCGTGCTTTTCGAGGTTGTGTGTGTTTGAGTTTGTGGTTTAAGCTTGTCGGACATCCAAGGTTACCGGTGAAGGTGGCCCGATGCCCGATGAGCTTTGCGAGGCTGAGGCCAGAGGTTTCGTGGTGCTGATGGGTTCCAAACATAAACTATTGTGCAGGACGGTCCGGGTCTGGATGCCGATTGCCCCCCTCCCGAGTCGCATGGCCAGGTGCAATTAGGTTTGGGTTGAGGGGTTCGTGGGTTTACAGTGGAGTTCCATCCGCAGCAGGCTGGGGAGCCCGATGATATTGACAACGACAGCAAGGATGCCCGTGAAGCCGACGAGGATAGCATAGTTTAACCGATCGATGATGAAGCATATCCGTAAATTGTATGTAAGTCCGATCCAGGAGACCATCCTACAGAAAGTCATGCTGAACCGGGAACCGGACTCACGGCTGCATTGCAATGGGGGTTCCAGTTGCTCACGGGTTTAAAACATATACTTCCTGTGTGTGTGCAGGAAACGCGGGGAATGGATGCCGATTGCCCCCGTCCCGAGTTGCATGACCAGGTCCAGAAGTAATTGTCTTTTATAGGTTGAAGGGTTTTCGCGGGCTTACTGGTGGGGTTCCATCCGCAGCAGGTCATCATCGATGACAGTGACAACGAAAGCGAGGATGCTCGTGAAGCTGACCAGGATAGCACCAGTACTGGTTTTAATCGTCAATAATATGTAGATTCTAGATCCGATCCTGCAGGAGACCATCCGACAGAAGGACTTGCTGAACCGGGAACTGGACTCACGGCTGCATTGTAATATTGGGGCCCCCAGATTATTCTTATATTGAGTCTTGAAAATCGTCAGATCTGCAGCTTTAAGGAGGACCGACGCAATCGACACGATGGGAGATTCAGGATTCAGGAGCTGCCCGACTGGCTTCTCAAGGACTGAATAACAAGGGGCCTTAAAATACGAGTCCGGTCCATCATCCATGAATCAAGTAATTTAGCAGCTGCATTTCTGCACGCGAGGGCTCCGAGTGCTCAAGTTCCTCGAGGGACGACCCTTGCACCCTTGTGCCTTGCACATGCAAGTTAGAGTCAGTAGAGTTCGCAGGTCAAGTATTATTGTCTGTACATAGGAGCTTGTGCCTTGTAACCGCTAGTTCACAGTTCCAATGCTCGTATTATAATATAACTAATGGGTACAGGTACATATACATGCTTGCATATACTGAGGCGGATGATTTGAACAGGATGCTTGCGGAAATGGACCTAGAGCTGCCGATTGCCGATCGCGAGATCGGGGACAGCTCTCAGCTTGTGCCTTTGATGCTAAGCAAACACTACTCATGATGCATTGCATGTTGGTGCAGCACTGTACATGTGGCTTGTGCCGTGTATATGTGCATGTATGTGTATGATCAGTATATGTGCACACATATATATATATATGTCTATCCATGCACTGCATGCTAACTAGTGACGATGACATAAACATCTGAGGCCTGCGACCAGGTGACTGCCGCGAGTGCTGGGATGGATTCTGTATCTTCGACTATTTAGCATAGTGTGATTGCACAGCTCTTTGCATTTCAACTTTCAGACGAGGCCGTAGACCAGGTAAGTAATTTCATTGCAACTGAGGGCATTCACACGTACCAGAAATAGCTCGCATACCTAAATTAGAAATTTGCTAACACAGCTGTGTTTGCATGTCAAGCTGCGACCGGGGTTCGAACCAATCAGCCTCAATGTTTGTTTGAATGGTTGCAATGTTGCTTTCATGCCTATATATAGTTCCTGTGCCTGGGTTGAAAGCAGGAATCCCCAAAACTTGCTTTAGGGCTTAGGGTTCTTGGGGTCTAGCGATCAGTGTGTGTTTTGGGCTGTGAGGGTTTTCGCCATCAGGGTTTATAACTAGATGTGTGAGGTTGACGTTAGGATCATCCGTGGCCCGTCCGAGGAAGCCCCCTAAGATAAGGTTTCAGTTTATTGGTAGCATCTAGGGTTTAGGAGGCTGTTGTTTTAGGTCGTTCGGGGTCGACCCCCTAAGATAAGGTTTCAGTTTTAAGGATAGCATCTAGGGCTTAGGAGGCTGTTGTTTTAGGTCGTTCGGGGTCGACCCGGAGGGAGGTTCAAGAATGCGCCGACAGAATCCTTTCCCGAGGACGCTGTGATTGCTCTGGATGATGATGACGGCACGAGTGCCGAGAAGGATCGTGTGCCTGGCCATGAATTG